GTTTTCTTTTTATATGTTATGTATTTTAAAAATTATTTTTTATTTCTTGTTGGTTCTGCTGCATACTTTGAGAGACACCTATAATAATTGCTTTTCCGTCCTGTGCTGTTTCTTATTCTCTTTGAAAGCACCGTAATAACCATGTAAACAGTAATGATGGTTGCAGTTCAGCTGTATGTTTACTTTGTGTAGTATGCATGCCAGATTTGGACCCAAATTGTCTAGATGTCTAGAGAAATAATCTTAGACAAGGAATAAATCAAGCATGGCATATCTAAAATGTGCAGAAACACTCATCCCAGGCAATTTTGAAATTAGGAGGCAAAGTGAAAAGAATACTTTTTCTTCTTCTGAAAAACCTCTAAGGATTTTTTTTTCTTTTAGAAATATAATATGTCAAATAAGTCTTTAACTGTTTGTAACACATCCTTTACTTGCAAGGTATTCAACAGCTTCCTAAAATTCAAGATAATAGGATGTAAGATACACAGCCACAAGAGCACAGTATTCACAAATAGAGTGATTTTTGGATCCATATGTGAGACAGGAACTTACCTGGTTTTGTTACTGTGTGAACTGCAATTAATGGCTTAAAGAACTAATTAAATGTCCTGAAGGGAATGTGTACTGTTTCAGAGGGCTACCTAATGAATATTCTTAATACAGATAATCTGTAATCAGAAAACTGTGGTACAGGATTTACTCTGATCTCCTCCAAAATAGTCCATTTATTTTGTCCATCTTCAGAAAGGACTTGAAATTAAATGGAATCTTTGCTTATTCTTTGCTCCCCTGTCTGTTCTGCGCTGTATGCTGTAGTAAGGCAAGCTATCGTCGTCTCCTTCTTTTTGTAATAACCACAGGGACCAGTTCCATTTGGTGGCTACTTCAGAAGTGCGTGAAATTGGACCTTTGCCACGGGAGGTGTACTTTTATTATGGCCATTGACATTCGCCTGGATCTCTGGGGTGCAGCATCTGCACAACCTCTCTTTTAAAAATGGAATGTTTGTTTTTAAGTAAACTTCTATGTTTCTTCAGTAAATGGGGGTTTTATCCAAGTCTTCATATTAAAATAATCTGCTTCTCTTCTGTATGTTAAGCTTCATTAATGGGGCTTTCCTCCCCTTCAAAGAAGATGCTTTTGTGGTTCAAGTCCAGTACTGGATTTCAGGAAATCAAGAGTTCAGTTTCTGGTTCAACCACAGATTTCCTGTATGATTGCTTGCTTATATCTGCCTTGGTTCCCCGCAGATATAGTGGTGACGTTTTATAAATTTGCAGGTTAACAGGGCTCATCATCATCATTTAATCTGAACCTCTGCATAATGGAAATGAAAAAAAAATAATTACTTGCAGAAATTACAAGGTTTGTTTCTGCTGTAACATCTTGGAAAGTTTACTCAGCCTTGATTTTGTTCAAGAATCTACCATTTCCCCTAGTGAAACATTTTCATCATTATGAGTCTTCAGTCATAATGTTGGGGGTTTTTTTTATTTTGAGTTTTACCTAAAAGTTTGCTCTTTTTCCTAAAAGACTTGATTAAATATAATTCTTAGACTAGCCAAGGCATTTCTTAATAATTTTCATTGGCTGAATTAGAGGTCCCTTAATCAGTCAATCTGAGTGTTCAACATAGCTCATTCTTTGGGTTAAGGAGGCACTAAATGATTGAATTCACTGTATGTACATGGATCGATTGTACTGTGCATACAAAATAGGACCATATTTTTACAATACCTTTATTATAAAGGTTTATTTCTATCTGCTTCCAGAGTTAGATGCCCAATACTATGTTTCTGCAGTTCAATGCAGTGGCATTTTCTTTCCTAGAAACAGTCTGGAAAATGCTGCTTCGAACTGGGCTTGAGGTGTTCACTTGTTGCCCTAAGGTTTTCCTGCATGCACATGTAGCATAATGTGTGTCTTGAGCCAAAACCAGTTAATACAGTAAAACTTTTGCAAAAGTGTTTTCAGGGAAGCAGGCTAGTAGCAGCAGGCTGCAAACCACAAACTGAATACCCTTTCCGTGATGAGCTCTTTAGGCCTCTCATATTCATTCTGGATTTTTGTTCTGAACACTTGTCACTGCTTGGTTTTGGCAGTGACAACTCTATGCAAACAGTTTTGTTGGTAGAAAAGCAGCTACTGTTACCTCTTATTTTTGCTTAATATTTTGCTCCAGTGTGTGTATCCAAATATTGCGCTTCTGTTTCAACAAGTAAGTTCCACTGAGGGTTTGTATAGAGTCAACACCCTCCTGTGTCTGCTAATGAAAGGCTGATCTGAGCACTCCTTAGTCCATTTTGGTCATACCTTTGTTTAAAACGCAGAAGAAACGGCACAAGAGTTAACGGTACTGACTTTGCTTTAAGCAGATTAAGGACTACTTTGCAGTGCTGCCAACAAGAGGAATCATAAAGACAGTATGTTATGACAAGGCATAGTGGCAAGTATTGAGGCGCCAGCTCCACACCATAGGCTTTGCAACTAGCAAGGCTCCTTTTTTTGTTTCGTTGTTGGGTTTTTTTTAAAGTCACTTTTCTGAGTTTTTACTTTAACACAATTAGTAGTCTGCAATTTACTGAAGCTTCATTTGATTGTGTTAAAAGGAAAGTTGTTAAACTAAGTATATTTATAGGCAGTTCACTTTGGTTTTCATGATTGATCTCTCACTGACATTATTTATTGTTCCACTGTGATTTGGTCATCACAAAATTTGTCTAAAATTATATCTTCTTTAAAATTACTTAACAGCTTATGAAGGTATAGACTATCACAAGGTTGCACACAGTGCTCTCTTTGATACTCAACTAGAAATACCTGTTGAATGTAACAATTTGCCGTCTGTGGGATTGTTCTGATTTTCCTCATCTCCTTTGAAATTCTCATTCATCAGAATGATAGGTAAGACAAAGCCAGATGTCTGAAGAAGTCTTCTGTGTGATCACAATTATTTTGTCAGCCCAAATAATGACCCCATTTAAAGAAGGTGTGGAGGCTGGGAACAGCCTATTTTCTTTAGAAGCGACCAGAGTGATGCTAGTTTTATACCTGTCTGTTATTTTCTTATATGTTAATGACCACAGAGACCTCACAAGCCAATTGTCTCACAGTGTTCCTGAATAGCTTGTTATAACTTTCATTCTCTTACTTGGTTTCATTTTCTTAAATAGTACTTCTTTTCCAACTGTCATTTTATTTCAGGAACACAGTCAGTACTAGGCTGGTAATGTTCTGATGTCTAGTGATACTTCAAAGCATGTCTACTTGGTTCTAATAATTGCTTATTCTGTTCCAAAAAGCCTACCTTAGTTCATCTTAAATTTCCTTCAAAATGTAGCCCCATTTACACCTTAATTTAGCCTTGAAAATATGTACAGTAATGATATGATATTCTGCTCTTATTCCACCCTGCACTAATTTCTGTATCATTTCTTGCAGTGTGTTCATGCCTTCTAGAGGCATGTTAAGAAATGTGATATAATTTTTTTTTCCCTCTGCCTTTAGGAAAAGAATCACTTGTCTTTGCAGGATATTGGGTGGTTGCTAGAGGTTGCAAAGAACAGAAAAGGTATACCTTGCATCACAGCGGAAGATGATAAAGCCCATAATCACCCTCAATTTCTCATAGTCTTAAGAAACAGAAGTGGGAGAGGCTGCAGAATTTGTTGCTCATTCTTCCTTCTCCTTCTCAACAGAATCAACTTGATCTAAACTACTCTGATAGGTGTTGCCATCAGGATTACACAGTATTTGGGCAGACCTGGAAAAGTTCTCTCTTCTGCAAAGATAAAGTGGTAAAAAAAACCCAACTAGATTTCAATGGGGAGGTTGACCTGTTGACTTTAGCCCTAATTGTGATGCTTTTTGATCTTTTTTTCATCCCAGACCATTGAAACTTTTAACAGAGGAGTAAATCTTTACTTTTGTATGAGAAGACAATATAAAAAGCATATGAACATGTTTGGGATATCTGGGTAGCCTTGCTGCTGCAGAGAAGACAGGAATTCCTAATGTAGAGTTTTAAGATGAAAGGACCGGTAAAATATTTAAAAAGATGACCTTAAGACAGGCAGTCAGGATTCACCTTAAAAAATTAGGCATGCAAGTTTAAAGGTTTTGGATGTTTTTTAAATTCTCTAAATGTTATTTTCCTTCTATCCACCTCTGCCCTTCCCCCCTTCATTCTTATTTCCCCCTCTATTATTCTTTCCCGTCCTCTGGTTTTCAACCCTTGTAGTTTCAGCCCCCCCCCAATCTAAGTTTCCTCTCCCCATTTCTCTGTGTCCCCTTTTGCATCAATCCAGATCTTGAATTATATAGAGAAACTATATTTAACAGGTAAGTTTAATAAAAAGTCATCCATTTTCAAGTTAATATGATGAACTGAACTGCAGAATTTGCCACTTCAGACAGTTGAGAGAGCAGTAATTTGTTACTCATATCTGGGAGTGGTTTTCACTGTTGTATTTAGGAACCCACAAAAACTTTTGTTTGAGAAGGTTGCCCCCTCTGTAGGCATATAGGCACTTTAGATATGAATCTATGCATGTATTAATATATATATAAAAATGTACATACACAGAACATCTGTGTACCTACACACACACAAAGGCACAGGCATTGTCATCTCTGTATCCTTTAAGTAGCACTGGTTGATACGCTGCCAGGAAACTTTACATTGTTTCTGCACTTCTAGATAAGGCTCTAAATTACCAGTGGTGCAGGCTGTGCCTAAATTTTAAGATAATGGGAAACGGTAATAGCAAGCTGCCACATAAATAAATAGTTGAAAGTGAAAGGAGGAAGGTAGATTGAGCAAGCAGCTTATGAGAAAGTACTCATTTCCAAAATGCAGCACAGAAAGAAGAAAACTAAATGGAGATCAAATCTTAGACGTTCACTCTGTACATTAAGTTTAATGGTTCTATCAACAGCTTCATATGACAGGAAATGATCTGGGCGTTTTGTTCACTTATTCTGGATGCCCTTAGTTTCAGAGAGCAACTGGTAACATGGATTGCACCTCGGAAGGGGACAGCTGAACTCTCCCTCTGGCTTTAGTGAGGAAAGAGCAGCGATGAAATCCGTGGACTGTGTGCACGTCATCCAACAGAAGGATACCGCCTCCTCTCCCTCTGCCCCCCCTGGTGCTGCTTCAGGCACCGCAGGACTTTTTTCTGTCACATTCCTGTGGCTTGCAATGCTCCTGTCCTCTTGTCTTGCAGCAGTGTCTCTTTACCATGTTATCACCCTGAAAACAGAACTAGAAGCTCTGCGCAGCGAGCTGATCTACAGGGTCCAGGCAAGGTCTCCGCTAGACCGGCCGCCCTTGTCCCCTGATGAAAATAAAGCAGGTGCACCTGTTTCTTCCTTCCTGCAAGTGTCTGCAGCTGGAGCCAGGCAGGTAAGCTGGAGGGGTGGTTTTTGGCTTGCAGAGGATTACTGAATGTAGGGCTGCTTTCACTGACCATTGCTTTTCCCCATTAGGAGAACAGGCTTCCTGGTCCTGGTCTAGCTGAGAGCTTCCAAAAGGAAATCTGGAACGGGAGCAGAAACAGGGGGAGAAGGTCCATTGTCCACACAGAAGAGACAGGTAAATAGTACCTGGTGGGTGGGTGGGTTGGGATGCTGCTGCTGGGTATTGTCTTGAGAAAAGCAGCAATGTTTGACTCGTAATTTTTCCCACTGGCCGATCGGTGCTCCCAGAGCCTGTTAAGGTTTTTGCATTTATTTCTGAATGAATGGTGTTAACTGTTGGTATATTCTCTTAATGGTTACTATACTGTTTACACTTCCAAATATTCATGCTACCTACAGGTTGAACTTTAAGTGTTAGATCCCAAATCTGCTTCTTGTAACAGAGGTATTTCTTGGCAATGTGGTAGAGTTGAGTAAGGCAACTTTAAATTCTCCGGATTGTAAATTGCTCAATTCTAAATCAATCATTCTCAGTTCAAGATAATGCCTAACTTGTTTATCTCTGATCAATATTAGGGAGGGAAAGCTATTATTAAAAATGCCAAGTCATTTTTCTGGGAAAACATGCTGATCCTAGAAGAGAGAAGTAACAAGAAAACTCTTCAACTTTAGAGAAGTAGGAGCTTTCAAAGAGAGAGGCTGGCTTGTACCTGTCAAAAGAGGCAGACTACAAGGAATTCAGAAGTTTAGCATCATTTCTGTATTAAAGCAATCTATTAATATAATTAGCAAACTTAATAAAGGCATGCCTATCCCATAAGTTGGTTTTTTTTGCATGGCCTTTTTAGAAGGTGCTGCAGACAACACTGAAGACTCTGTTCCATAAATGACATCTGACATATATTACAATATTGGAATGTTAATGGGATATATTTGCTTCCTTTGGGGATAAAATGCCTACATTTTTTTTCTTTTTCTTTTTCCAAACACAATGATGCCTGATAGGATGAAATACAAAGTTTTATTATAACAATTTGCATACATACTTTAATTGCACTAACTCCAAATGTTCCTGAGTTGTTAAATCAGCTCAATCTGCTGATATCTTAAACTGATATTTTAATTTTTTAACAGATGAAGTTAAGATAGAGTAATCTGTAGGTAAAAACTAAATCAGACTTGGCTTGAAATGTGCTTTTGATTGAATAAATAATGTGAAATTTGTTTCAATTAAGCTTCAGCAAGCTAAATTAAATTTAAATTCTAGGGTATAATCACTCTGTTTATCTCCAGTTCTCTCAAAAGAGAATATTCACTTAGGACATCACTCAAAAGACATAGTTTTAAATGGGATTTATTCTATTTCATTAGTAATCATTGGTCCAGGGTCTTGGTTAAGAGTGATTTCACAAACATGACTGAGGATAAAATTGCTTAAATTGTGTTTCTCGTAGCCTGTTTCCTATCATGACAGCCACAGAGCTTCCCTGCTGTCCCGACCCTGGCATCTCTTAAATAAAAACTAATGATCTTTTATATCTAAAGCACAAGTATCTTCAAAAATAAGGAGGCACATCCTTTTTAAAATGAATGTTATAGCATCAGTACTCTGCAAGTTGTTTAACTGTCTTCACAGTAGCTTTCATCTTTATTCTTACTGCTATTTGAGGGTGTATGGGGGAGAGGAGGGTTTTGGGCTTCTCAGCTGTGCTTTTGGCAGACAAGATTCTTCTCATCAGGTAGCCACCTCTGATTATATCTATTTACCTTTCTTCATATGAAATTCTAATTGATCTACTTAATTCTGTAAGCATTTTTTTTAAAGATACAGCTAGCTTTAAAATAGTTTAGGATGGCTAATAGAAAGCACAGAATATGAACATTCATTTAAAAGGGAAAAGCTGCATAGGTTGACCTGCTACAAAACTTTTTTCTAACATGTCCATATTTTTTATATATTTATAAAAAAACCCAACGAAACAACAAAAAACCCCAAACAAAACAAAACAAACCCAGAAAAAAACTAAATGACAAATTTTGCTGTTAGACAGGGTTACCTTTCTGCTTGCTGTAATCGCAACAAATTAAACTTGTCAGCGTTCAGTAAGATGTTACATTTTCTTGGATGATACTTCACTGATGACCATGAACCTACTAGTCAGTGTTCAATTTCGTTTTAGGAGAGTGAGTGAAATAAGAGAGCATGGTGTTGTTCATGGTGCTGAATCCTGCCCTTTCCTTGGTCATTTACACACAATTACTAGTCCTGCATTTTGATCCTGTGTCCTTTTCTGGGTACCAGAATCCTGGCAGCCTCCAAATCATCCTGCAGATGCACTCCAGTCATTCTGGTATGATGGCAGATAAATTAGGGTATTGAGTGAGGTGCCTTGTTCTTGTCCTATTTCTGTTTGCTTCAACAAGGTCTCAGAGTCTGGTCTCATAATTATTGACCCATAATTTTGCTTTATCGTGGACCAATTTCTGAGAAAGTGAATACTTGAAAACATCACTGATACACTCATTCTTCTCATTCAGAGAGCAGAAGTAAGATATAGAACCATTATTTTGTTTATAAATAGAGTTGTCATTTAATTCTGTTTTCTTTTTAAACTCTAATTATTAAATTCCAGAAATGGATGCCTCATGATTCTTTTAAGGCCCAGCACAGCCCTCCATGAACATATGGAATTTCCCTTGTAATTTTTATTCTATTTGCTTGATGTTGTGTGCATAAAACTGGCCATTAATTAGAATTTTAATTTAAATGACAATTGAATTAAAATGGTTTTTACACAATGTTCTTTATTCATATTTTTATAGGGTATGCGTTTGTCTGTGTTCAGGCATAAAGCTATTACTCATCAGTAGTTGTATGTACATTCTATGTCTTGAGAAAGTTTCCAGCTCAAGTAGGTTGATGTGTTTCGAGCATCAATTCCAAATACAGCTGTATAGTTCACAGTCAAAATGAGAGTTCTTGATACAATGAGTAGGAGTTAATGGGTGATTTTGAAAGGTACATATTATTAGTATGCAGGCAGATAGATCATGTAACCACTTCTGGCAAATGTCATGTCGGGACACATAAGAATAGATACAATTTTCCTTATTTGTCTTCCTTTTTATAAATTTTGCTTGTAAATTGCTGCACAAAAAAAAAAAAAAAAAAAAAAAAAAAAGCTCTCCTGAATTTTATACCCTGGTCACAATTATTGGTTGCCTTGCTTGCATGTTTCTCCCTGCGCTGTATGTGAGCTTGAGGCCAAGAACAAGATATAGGTTCCATTACCTGGGCCAGTTCAATGTAAAGTTTCATTTATACACTCTCTTTGTGCCTCATTCTGATCATTACTGAGGGACTCTTGATTCCCGTGGCCAACTGAGGAGGTGAGCATCAGCCCTTCTGTAAACTCAAATTTAGGCAACATTCTGCTCTGATCAGATTGGAGCACCTGTATTTACTGTATTTACCTTGGTGTGTTGAGGTTACCCATCTGAACCAGTCTGATTGCATGTATGGAAGGAACTGAGGAGAAATCCTAAGCAGTGAAACAGACTAACAGGCATGTGACTTGGCAGGTTTATTTTTTACTAGCAGTTCCCAGGTTCTACCCCACTATCAGTTGTGTCCATGGCAAATAATTATTACCATGCAAGCGTGGCGTATAAGTTGTGAGAATTTTGCCATTGTTCTTGGTATAATTGTCTTACTGGCAAACTGGTACTTGTGTTGGTTGGAAGTGTTTTGACTCTGAATGTTTTAGACCTCTGTGACAAAGGGATAGCAAGAACTTTTACAAGTGGGACTTGACTTTAGTGATCTCTGAATCAAGAAACCTAACCTTTTGTTACTAGCCTAAACAAATGCCATATATAAAATTCCCTCATCAAATATTCAAAAATACCTCTTATTTTATTACTTTAAGAGGGGAAATATAAGAGTTCTCTCAGTAAAAAAAAGAGGTCTACTCCTTAAAAAAATAAATTATTCTTTTTTGTTTCTGCTGACAACAGGCTACCTCAAAAGGAAGTAGGCCCTTCTATGCAAAAAGATAGAAAATTGCTCAATACAATACGTGCAATTTTATATTAAGAATTTCACTTACTGAATGAATGATAGTAATTCACTGTTGCATATTGTGCAGAACACCGTGCAGTCAAAAATACACAAAATAGGCTCCAATTTTTGAAAACAGTATTCTGTTCTATACTGTATAATAGCAGTCTACATAAAGTGTTCCTAATACTTAGCAAATTATTTCCTTGTTATTCTGATTGTAACATTTTACTGGTAATTCTGTTAAGGTCAAAATAATGCTACCACTACTTTGAAGATATTAATAAGCTCTGAGTCATATCTGTAACTATGACCAAGCCATTTTAATGCAGGGACCGATTTAATCCAAGAATAATGCCATGTAAAGACTTCTTAGTTAAAAAAGCACCAAATTAACCAGTCTATAAAAACGCACACGCAAGAAGTAAAAGAATCTCTCTTGTGATGGGAAATAAAGAAGTTAAGGGAAGAAGAACTGCAAATTGTTCAAGAACACACATATAATTTATAAACTGACTTATCTAGTGTGTAAGTATGTTTCAGGAAGTCTACAGAGAACAGATCTAGACCAAAGAAGGAACCTAAACAAGCAGGTCTGTTTTGTAAAGTCCAGGGTTTTTTGCTTGTTTGTATTTCAGTGAAAATTGAGATAGATGTCTCAGAACTCAGATACTGAAACATAAAATTTATGCATGAGTTCACAGACAACAAGCTTGAAATTTTGTTTGGATGAATTGTGAAGATAGACTGCAAAATACTAAAGTGATTATGCAAGTTAAATAATATAAAAACTTGCGTGGGAAGGCAAATTTGATTTTACCAATATCAGGTCATAAATCATGCAGATGTGCAGAAGGCTGCGTTCCTATCCTGCTGCAAAAGCTAGCTTTTTTTTTTTAAATATAATTGTGGTTACATTGCTCAACCAGTGTAGAGCACATCCCTTCATGTTCTGGCTGTGGTTTATAAAGGCATCTGGAGTCACTAATTTCTTGAGAATTGGCTGTTCTATTCATGGAAGAGGAGAGATTCTGAAATGTTCTTCTCCCACCCACACCCCACAAAGCAGTTAAAAATAAAACTAAAAAATGCTCATCAAAGCAAAGCTATAATATCAGGTCACAGGAGGACAGGGTACACTGTGTTGTTCTAGATAAAATCTGTTTTATACAGCTAGACCTCACAGTGACACTCAGTCTAGATGTTTTTACACTTTAAAAAATATTATTTTATGAATCCTGCATTCTGCTTTCATTATTAATTATTCAAAAATACTTTAGGCTACAAACCTGATGCTCAGGTTTGATTTACACTGGGCTGAAGGGCATTCAGGTACAGTTTTTGATTTATTCTGCTCGGTACTGATAGTAACTATTCAACCCATATTTTGTAATGCATATATTCTTGATATTGTATTCAGGTAAGATTTGGGTCCTTCTTAGAACAGAATTGTGAACTTTTCTTAACAATGTCAACTTTTTACTGAAAATCCCTGCTAATTCACTCAGAAAACATATTCTGTATATCCATATCTTCTCCTTAATAGTAGTGTTGTTTACTCTGAATTTGTTTCAGAGAATTAGTTAATTTCGGGTTCACTGAGGTCAAAGTGAAGTGCTTGTATATACTGGAAATAGTTATGTTCTGAACATTTTTTGAAGCATGTTGTTGTTAAATCCTTCGAACACTTCTTTAGATATTGTTTGTCCTTTGTGGCTTTAGGTAAAACAGCCACTGTGCTAATTTCTATTCTCTTTATTGTCATGAATGACATGGAGCCTTATTTCTGTCTGCATACACTAAAAAAACAGAGTCAGTAACATTTTTTTTAGAGTATATGTAGACTTGATATCTGTAGAATATAGAAGAGTCATTCTGTGTTTTAAAAAGACAGAAAAGATCTGAGATGGTACTGAACTTGCTAGTTTTAATTACTGTGTGGCAGTTCTCAGCAATGATGACTACAGTGCTACAAACAACTGAAATGTAAGTCCAGACTTGCAGACTGTGAACTGGGATAGTTTCAAGAATGTCAATTAAGTTTGCAGAGCAAGTTTAGCAAGAGTTGCTAAAGTAGCCATAACTTTCAGTGCTTGAGGGCACTACTCATTGGTACCCAGCTGTCTGGTTACTGGAAAATCCAGTGGCCACACAAGTGAGTTCTTTCAAAGGTAGGAATGAAAATTTTGATTTAGAGTACTGAAATACTAGGGAATCAGTACATTCCATTCACTAGGAAGGCACTTTGCTCCAGAGGAGAGCGAATGAATGCCTTGTGAAATAAATGTGAAGTGATGTGCTTTGTTGTGCATTTTGATTTTATTTTGAAGCTTCTTTTTTCAGAAAATTCTGTTGCTCACAAATGTGATAGAAAAATGACTGAAATATACTACCTTCTTCAATTTTGTGTTGGCTTGGTCTTTCTATTCCTTATCAGAAGACAGAGTATTCAGATGCCTTTAAATTCTTAGTTTGAAAATTGGTAGATTTGGGCATATTATTGATGAGTATTGATAAGAACTCAAGGACACCTTCCAGTGTAGGAGACAGGAGCTGGATAGCGTTCCTGTTAACATAAGGAGAGCTCACAGGTTGTGTGGTTATTGATGTTGGAGTGTTCCCAGACATGCACTTGAATCTTTGCTGAGTGCTGGTGTGCATCCAGCCCTCTCCTGGTATTTTCAGGCAGGCCTCCTTGGAACGGAGACTTAGATACAGAGAGGGGCTGCTTTCTACCCAAATGCTCTCACTACCTGCCATGCAGTGAGAAGTTTGTGCTGCTGGGCACTTGGTTGCAGGTGTGGGTACCACTGGCAGATGTAGAAACAGGATCCCGTGGAGCAGGGCACAGCCCATTATGGCAAGTGTGCCCATATCTGACCCACAGTCTTCTTGCTTGAAAAGAGGTAAACAAAAAATGGAGATTCAGCAATTCACAGCAGAACTGTCTTCTCCTGACTCTTTGTAAATTCATTAAGTTTCTGCCAGGTGCACTAAATGTTACTACTCTGTTTTCCAGCCTTCAAAGTAGCATTAGAACCAGATGTTTTCATTAAAAATTGCTCTAAGCAAATGCAACTATCCTTTTTTTCTTTTATCCTGTTCCCCGACACTTAACGCTTAGCAGATTTTTTAAAGATCTTTGGTTTTGATCTTTGTAACACACCACAATATTTTTCACTGATCAAACTCCTAGTTTTTCATTAGCATCTCCAGTCTCCACAGTTTTGAGTAATGCATCCGTTCTGACAGATGCTAAGCTATTTGTTATGTGTGCATTAATTTGATAACAGTCATCTCTGTATCTTCCCTCTTGGTATAGCTGTATTGAGTGCGGGTATCTGAAAACATATTGAAAGTACATCTATATGGATTTTGAGAATTTATTTTGAAAGTACCATGCAACCAGTATATATGACTAATATTCTACAGCAAGTACGACTGGAAATATCATTAATATAGCAAACATCACTTGAAAATCTGATATTTGTCATAGATGACACAGTTGGGGTGGTTTATGAGCTTTTGCTTAGAAAATTAACAGCTCTAATTGAACTGAGGATTCCTAGCTCATTTGACTTACTGCTACAGTTTTCAATTATATGAAGACCAGAGATTAAACAAAACAAGTATTATTTGTGCTAATATCTGATGCTTTCTGCTTAGCTGCACGATCTCTGAAAGTTATCCAGTACGTGTTGTGGTATGAACTTTGTTTTGGCATGTTTGAGTAAGATCTGCCTTAAAATCAGTAGATTCTGTTTTTAAGTAAATGGAAAAACCAAGAGCAGCTTTTTTTATGTCTTTTTTTTTTAAAGTAGTTTCAAAAGCTTACTCTATTACTGATTTGCATTTCTCTGATTTCAAAATGCTTTCACTTTGCAGTGCTGCAGGCTTGCTTGCAACTGATTGCTGACAGCAAAAGTGATATCGAGCAGAAAGGTAAGAATATGTTCCATGATTTATAGCTAACTATTCTATGTTTTAATTCTTTCATCCAATTTTATCTGACTTCAAAGCAGTAACTGAGTTACACTGTTTAATTAAAAAAACAAACCAACCAAAAAGTCCCTGTATCTGGACGTGGGGAAATCCAGATAGTGAGACTCAAGTTAGCTTTGTTAATTTTTGGCAGATGAAAATTAAGAAAGTCTTCATCTTTCTGATTCCTGATTACCCAAAAATTGTTGTTTCATTTAGATGATTCAAGCATTGTCCCTTGGCTTCTGAGCTTTAAACGTGGAACAGCTCTGGAAGAACAAGGAAATAAAATAGTGATCAAAGAAACGGGATATTTTTTCATATATGGCCAGGTGAGAAAGTTCAATTTGTTTCATCATCTGACTTTTTTTAAGGATTTTTAGTGTCTCCATAGAATATGTTTAAAGTCTGCACCTCTTTATTCTGTAGGTTTTATATACAGATACGACATTTGCTATGGGACACCTAATACAGAGGAAGAAGGCCCACGTGTTTGGTGATGATCTCAGCTTGGTGACACTGTTTCGTTGCATCCAAAATATGCCACAGTCTTATCCGAATAATTCTTGCTATACTGCTGGTAAACATTTAAGTTTTCCTTTTCTTTGTTTGCAAATAAACTGTATCAAATAGAATCTGTAGTGTTGGGTGATTAAGTATTGTGGCAGTTGTAAAGAAAATGGACTGCATTCATGGATCTGGTTAACTGCAAAATTACAGAATACTTTCAAAAAATATGGCTTTATAGAAAGTATCAACAGTTGGAGGGTATGCATCTAACTTAAGTCATCTGAACAATTCTCTCTCCATTGACTATATAATGTGGTTAGACACTTTGGTGCTTTCAACTAGATGCCTGAAGCAAACAAAAGGAACACATACTGTCCTTATCAAACAACTCAGTTTAACTTAGGGGTTGAATTCCACATTTAATCCCAGTAAAATATTTAGGAGCTCTCTTCTGCTTTAAAACATCATATGTGAATTATAGTCACCCGATTTTTGTATACCTTACTGTGGAATTTCCAGAGATATTTCTTATCAGCTTAATTCTCTACTCCTTATAATGGCTTCTGCAGTTTTTACAATTTGCTTAGATTAAAAACAGTTAATTCCTTTAAGAAGCTCCTTCTGACTGCACAAATTAGAAACACCACAAGAAAGACCAATTAAAATATTTAATGCAAGTCCAGCAGGGTCAATGTATATGTACATTCCTGCAGTAGCATTTAAGGAATTACTGTCAAGGCCTATTAAACATTGTTCAGTAGCTCTTATCTGTTTCTTTCCCCCTTAATGGTAGATTTGAGGGTTTTCTCTTTTGTTATTTTCCAGCATGATCTGTATGAATAAAAATTTTTTTTTTCCAATTCCTTATTAAAAAGTGGGTGATATTGAGTGATGAAGTTGACTGTTGGCAAGTAATGGCGTTAAACAAAATGGGATGGGGAAGGAAGCTAATTTTTTTTCTGACTAAAAATAAATTAACTACTTCCTCCTGGGAATTGAGCCTGTCCAAACATTTTCTTTGACTTTCTGCCCCTCCACCCACACATTCTGGCATCGTAACCACCTTCAATTTCATCTGTCGTCTTATTTCACTCTTGTATTACTCCCCCCACTTTCTTAACTAGGATCTCTGCTCCCTCTTGCCACTTCATGGTTCCTGCTTCCCAAATTCCCACCCTTATGCTTTCACCTGGAAAAACAAATCTCACTGCAGTATCTCATGCTGTTGAGCATGTGTCACAGCAGATGTTAGGTGCACTCTCAGGCTGGTGACTGCAACTTGAAGGTGAAGTGCTTTCGGTTATCAGATCAGCTGATGTGCGGCTGGCAGGAAGCAGGCTTTTGTGCTCTGCAGTTGCAGTGGATCAGCTGATGTCTGGCAACTTCACTTTGGTCGGTAAAGCTCATGAGACCTCCTCCAGTAATGTGGGAATGGAGTGGTCTAGGACCCGCAGTACCCAATGCTGACCTTGACTTACCAAAAAGTGATCCATCACCATAACATGAGGAACCTGGGTAGACCACTGTTACAAATTTTCTGCAGTGTTTGCTTAAGTGAAGTGTGATATGCTGAGCACAGAGTGGAAAGTAGGTCCAACTCCACAGAGGACATTGTCAGCTTTGGGTAGGCTACGATTTGTAAGACTGTGCCTAAAGATAAGAAAGCACTCATCACAAGTAACAAACCATGCTTATATTTGTAAGATGATGTGTAATCGCTTTTTGAATACTGTTTATGAAAATAATGTATTTAAAATATTAACTTAAAAATTCCAAATCTTTTGCCAGGCATTGCAAAATTAGAAGAAGGGGATGAACTTCAACTTACAATACCACGGAGAAGGGCCAAAATATCCTTGGATGGAGATGGTACCTTTTTTGGAGCAGTTAGACTCCTCTGAAGCCCTTAATTTCTGTTATTATGCTTAATGCAGTTTTATTCTCTTCCTATGCCTTTGTCAGAAAAAATATTGAACTGTAATAAAGCTGCCAATTCAGTCTCTCCCCATCCACCACCAGCTTCTGAGAACTTTTCTTCAGTTTAATAAGCGAGCCCAAAACAGGAAACACACCAGACATACTTGTGAGATATAACCATCATGTGATTACCAGAAAACCAATTTGTTTTAGAAAATAGGGGACTCTAAATAACAACTGTAAAACAATAGGGTTTTGGCTTCGGAGCAATGTCTTGTCCGTAAGGCAAATCAAAGGAGTTGTGTATAAAGTATAGCATGAACAGGACAACTGACTGTCAAATTATTATCCATAATTGAAAAGAAAAACTTAAACACATGTACACCTTAGATTTGCTTTGTTTCCTCTATAAGATATTTGAAGTATAGAGTATGGGGAAGAAACATCAAACAGTAGATTCCTCATCACAAAATGGAGATGTCAGGTGGGTTCTGATTTTTAGGGGTTTTTTGTCTTTACCACCAAGATTTTGGGGAAGGAAAAAGTCTAAACATACAGGACAATGAGAAGTCTAAATGTATGGGCTAATGAAAATGAACTCCTCAGAAACACAGAACAGTGGCCACTGGCTTGCTTCTTCCCTGTGAACCAGAGGTGTATCATTTACTAAAATCTATTAGTGTTTCCTAATTAGAATTAATTTTACCGGAAAAAGTAACATGCTTTACTGGAAAATGCAAGATGCTTCAACAAATCAATCTTCAAAGTATTGTTACTTATCAAGGAATGTGTGTATAATTCTGTGTAAGGAAGGCAAGGATAGAAAGAAACATGGTGAGATTAGACACAATATAATAGGTGGAATTGGATTTCTGGCTTCATAATTTCTGCAGTCATATATAGATGTGTATATATATGTGTATATGTATATATATGAAAGTATGTACACACACACACATAAGCCTTTGACATTTGGGCATATAATTTTATCTTCTTTTGAATCATTTATCCTATGGGAATATTACTGCATACATTTATTTTTAATTATTTCTCTTGCTTTTAGCTAGGTTCCATTATATGCAGTATAGTAAAAAGAAAAAAACAATAAACCTAGAACCACCCGTACAACTGAGAAAACACATTTGTATCCCAGAAATCTGGGCTCAATCCCTATGTTAACTGTAGGCTTCTTCCACTGTCTTGAATGTATTGGTCAACCCTGTTTTACAAAAAAAAAAAACAAAAAACAAAAAACCCACCTCAAAACCAAAACAACAACAACAAAGCCAGATCTCTAGAAAGACCAGATGTCTCTCTTTCCTGTTGTCTGTGTGCTTTGTTCAGTAGATAAAATTTATGACAAGAGTCCATGTGTATTGCATGGTCAAGGTAATAGTGTGGTCAAGACTTCTAGGAGCTATTGTAATGCAAACATTGAATACTTATTCCACTGATCTTCAAAGAAGTATTGAAGTGCTACTGGATTAGATAAAATAATAAAATCCACAGTAATGATCTGTACTTAATTTGGAAGTGTTTTTTAGGGGTTGAGAATTGTGTCATATACACTCCTTTAGTAAAAAGATGCTCTGTATATTGCAGTCTCCTCATCTGTTTTATAAATCATGCTGATTTGATTGAGTTCTTCTGGTGATAGACAATAAATAAAAGAAATGTGGAGCTGGGAATTCTGGACTATGGTAAACTAATGAAACAATTAGTTCAACTTCTCTGGGCTTCAAGAAGACATTTCAGCAATAAGTGTATTGGATTACCACACTGGGATTTTTATGAGGCTTAACTACAGTTTCAAAATGTCTGGAAGAGCTCCTTATACAAATGTATTTATTTATGTGTTCTGGAGCCAAAGCTGCTGCTGCTGCCTATTAGTATTATTATTGTTATTATTTAGCATTGATATCCTAAGTTTGCCAAAGAGGCATTTGAAATCCCATACAGGAACTCTCAGTTTAGCCAAAGGTTATGTGAAGATGCATATAAATACATTAAAGAGATGTCCACAATCCCTAATCAGAAACATGTTTATTTTAGCATTGTCTGATTATAGAAAAAATGGTGTTACTGTTGCTTTCCCAGAGACTTGATGGCTAAACTTGCAAATTTAACTTTTTGTATGTATGCTTCCCCAGTGGTTTCAGTGGGCTTGCTTGGCCCCTTAGAAAGTGTAGCTTTGATATAAAGAGATACAGTGTGGTATTTTAAACATACAGCACATAGCAAAAATTTTATGAAGCTAGATCAGTTGTCATCACTGCCCCTTTTCCTCACTGTATCTCTTCCTTCTGCTGCTGGCAAATGCGGACAGTGCAGAACTTTGGAAAGTGTTTGGGGTGTGGTATGGCTTGGAGGAAAACTTTTCTGGGCGAAAAGGTTTCAAAAGTGTTCCCTTCCTTTAGCAGGATGAAACTTAACCTCAACTTTCTTGTGACCCATGAGAACTCCCACATGTGTACAGGTACTTCTACTGACAAAGCTGGCAATTTTGTCATGCTGGTTTTCTGCTGCCTTCATGAGAAGACTTGTCTTCTCAAAATTAACCTCCTTCTGCACAAAGTTGAGTTTTAACAGATCAGCATTTAATGACCAAAGCAGGAAGAAAAGAATACCTCCTTCCTGATGGTTCTGCTAACAAACTGGTGATACATGAAGTAGCAAAGTACATCCAGACCGCAATTGTGTTTATGCTTCAGTTAGTGGGAGTTACTGAAACTTTCTGCATTTAATAGATGTTATTTAAATGTGTGATAGGTAATAAGCAATATCTAGTTGTTTCCTACCATATTTTGCATTCTTATCAAGGTCATCTAATGGTTGGACATGATGATCTCAGAGGTCTTTTCCAACCGAGCGATTCTGTGATTCTGTGATCTAGCATTAAAGATAGGTTTCTGCAAAAGCAGCAAATGGTGAACCTACTCTGGTTCTTTTTCACGTGGTGTTAAGTAACATGAGGGACTTGACCATTTTCTTTCCAGTACATTTTCACAGAAAGTGTGAGCTTCTCTTATTTTCTCCTTTTTAATAATGTGCAGTCAGCAGATATATAACTGCTTTGAAACATGTAATTTGCATCTTAAAAATGATATCTCTATTATGTAATGTGCAGTCACACACCCTACCAACATACAGAGTATACTCACTACATGGCTCTCTCACCTCTGACTGTTTCTCAAATTGCTCGGCATTTGCCATTGTAAGATTTTAATTTGTTATCCCATAGTTTTGCCAAGCTTACACAGCTGGAGTTGAGATTTTCTGTATCTCTGGTTTATGTGTTAGGTTTAATCGCACTGGATAACTTCAGCCCCTAAAGTTCTACTCTTCTAAATATGAGAGTAGAGAAAATGCATTGTTTGGATTTTATTTTAATGATTTGGCTACTTTTTCTCTGGAAAGACCTAGAGAATTTATGCTTTGAAAGAAGAAATGTGTGTAAGGTGGGTTTTACTTTGTTTTGATCAGGGTTTTCTTTCTTCCTTCCTTTCTTTCTCATGCACTCATACTTTGGCAAGGTGTATGCTTTTGAAGAATTTCACGCCTTCTCATGTTAAGAATATTCTGTTTCTATGGAACTTGCAAAAGGGAGGGCAAATGTTCTCAGCAGTTTTGTCTCTTGGCTGAGTCCATGGATTACCACTATCAGTAAGATCTAAGGTTGTTTTTCAAGTTCTGTCCAAGCAGCAGTGAGAAGGAAGTTGATGCAAACACAGGGAAGAAGGAACATGGAGTTTGCAGGTTACACAGAGCTTAGGAGTGATGGGGAAACAAACCAGATTTGGAACTGGATTGCAGAAATTGGAGAGACCCTAACTAGGATTTGATTGCTTGTGAGATGAGAAATGCAAGGGAACTAGGTGAGGTTAGGCAAAGACAGCAACCTTGTGGAAAAGGACCAAGGGTTCCTGGGGGAAAGCAAGCTAAACGCAAGTCTGCAGCAAGCCCTGTCAGAGACGAAGGCTAACAGCATACTGCTCAGTATTAACAAGTGTCAACAGTAGATTAAGGGAAGGATTTATTTCCCTTTTCTTGGCACCTCTCAGAGTGTATTTGGGATCCTGCATCCAGGTTTGGACACACTACACCCCAAAGACAAGGAGAGTGAGAAACCTGAGAGAGTCCACTTGTAATGCAAGATGGTGGTTAGGGTGGAGTACATGCCTGCCCTACAAGGAGCGGCTGAGTGAAATGGGTTTGTCCAGCCTGAAGAAGAGTGTCAGTGGGTCCTAATAGCAGCCTTCCAAGTCCATCTGGATGTCTCAAATTACAGGCCAAGGTACACTGTAAGTTAAACTTCATTTTATCAGCTCATTAGGAAAGAAAACAAACATGAAGCCTTCAATACACTTTGTACAGACTAGTCTGATGTGAGTTCACCAATTCATCAGTTAAGTCATGAGGTTACTGACTCAAAAGCTCTCTAATTCATACCTCTCAATTCATAACTTGTAATTCATGCACCTACAGGCAAGAGAGTTATCTAGCTGAAGGGAAGAGTACTCATCCTTCCTTCTCCGTTGTGGTGTGGTCATCCCCTGTATCACACTGGGAAACATGAAAGCCTCAGTTGTCCAGCTGCTGTTGAATCTGCTCCAAAAAATTGAAAAATTTAGGTTTTGGACACATTTATACCTTCTGGCCTGTAAGTTTGGTCTACACCATTTCCATGAGTTAGTGGATTATGAAGAAACTGCCAATCGATATGCAAGGATGGTGGCTGCAGGAGTCAGCAAGCTGCAGGTGATAATGGCTGCATAATGACCTTTAGCCCTTTCTGGCCACTGTGTCCTGGCTACGTGCTGCCTTTTCTGTGACTCAATGGTGCTGATCCCAGCATACATCAATCAGGCCTTAGCATGAGCTACGCATTAGCCAAAATTTGAGCAGGAATCAAGTAAGAGTCACACCATGGGGACTTCAATCAACAAAGCAAGTTGCCCAGATGGGTTGTGGAAAATCTGTTCCTACAGATTTCCAGCACTTTAATGGACAAAGCCCTGTGCAACATGGTCTGAATTCAGCATTAATCCTGCTTTGAGCAGGCTGGAATACAGACCTCCCAGATGATCCCTTTCTCCTGGCTGATTTCCTCTCTTCTGGTAAGAACCCAGGAAATGTGGGGAGCAGAGAAAGGACTGAAACTGGTGGGAACAGGTCAGAAAGGGTCCTGCTGGGCAAGGAAGAGTGTTCATTTCCTGAGTGCAAATGAAACACGGATTCCTCAGTGTGTGCTTCAACAGAACCAGCAAAGATTTATGTAACGCACAGGGCAAGTTGCAGTTAAGCACAGCAAGCTGCCAGCAGTCATTAGGTACCGCATGACATGAAGCTCAAGAGTGTAAATTGAATCAAACTATGTGGCCAGGTAATCTTCATTTACTCCTTT